GCCATGCAGTCGTCCATTTTGGCTTGAAGTTCCTTCATCTGAGCAGCCAAACTAGCCATCAAAGAGTTTCCAATCATGACTTCGGAAGAGATTTCTTTCAACTCGTCCTCAGCGTTGTTGATCTCTAGAAGCAAAGACTCTTTTTCAGATACTGCGCGAAGATATTGAGTACTTTTGGCCTTCAGTTCAACATTCTTGGCCAGCAAGGAGAGGACCTCGGAATGGATAACTTTTAACGTCGTTTTAAAATCAGCAGAAAGATTGAGCGACGGAAGTGTCAGTGCTTGCTCCAACTTCGCATTCAAATGCTCAAGCTTATCCTTATATATGGCAGCACTAGCCTTACCAATGTCCATATCCATGAAGGACACGTACTCAAATATCGACTGCTTGAAGAACTTCATATCTTCCTCTGAAGAAGTAGCAGGACGACCAGCTGGAGCAAGGTGAGATGTCTTGACTTGCCCCCAGGAAGCGAACAAGTCTTGGATGGAACGCACAATCTTATCAGCATCTTGCAAAGAAAATTGCCAATATTGAAGATTCTCACTTCAACGAACAAGATGGAAGTAAAAGTGAAGCAACGATTACCTCATCAATAATCTTGGAAGATGGCATATCCCCAGCCAAGTCTGCCACCTGTGGCACCACCATTCGTGAGGACTTTCCCTTGTCTAAGCGAGAAGATGTTGCCACAACGGCCAGACTCATGGGAGCATCTACAGAACTCAAAAGCAACAAATCAGAAACCAATGGCACAGGCAAAGGTAAAGCATCAAAAAACTGAATTACCTTCTACTTCGATGTTTGGGGGGTCGACGCCCTGGGAAGAAGGTGGCTCATCCATTGGTTGTGATGAGGATTCTGGGACTGAAGATGTTTCTTTAAGCGTAGTCCCTTCATTAGTTGGTTTGGATGAAGCAGCCTCAACGGAGGATGATGAAGCAGGAGCTGCCGACACCAAGGCCTTCAAAGGAGAGGCTGAAATTTTCTGAGAAGTCCAAATAAACCATCAGCACACAGAAAAGTTTCAAGTATGAAAAATTATGCTTGTGAGTAAACCAATTTAATTACCTTCCTCCTGATAATAAGAGGGGTATCATCATCATCTTCAACATCATCCTCCAGAATGGGAGATGCTGAGGCTGGCCGTTTGCGGTTCGGGACACTTTTGGCTGCAGTAGGCTTGGCAGGGAGAGAAGAAGATGGATGAGTAGACTGTTTAGCGCGATGAGGAGGAGAAGGACTCCAGATCGACAAAGGGGTGACTAAAATAGGAGGAGGGAAAGAAATGCTTGGCTGGTCCAATGAATGAAAGGCACGATTAGCATCAGTCGCAAACAATCTGTGCTTCACTGACGGCCAGAGTTGTTCAAAACGAGGATGGATGGCACGGCTAGAATTGAAGGGGGCTAATGAAAAATGGCTCGTCAAAAGAAGATTGCGAGCATTTATAGCCTCTGCCTCCGCCTTATTAATGATATGGAAGCGGTCTATAAAGTTCCTTAAATAGCAAGGAGGAACAGGCCAGATTTGGCCGAAACCAAGTTGGCGAGCAAAAAATTGGGGAGCATATATTTCTACCCCAGCCTTGGCATTGGTCCCAGCCAAAATATCATGAAATAACTCCCTCCCGATTAAAAACTGGATCCAAATGAGCAGAGAGGTGCTCGCACTATCTATAGTGGAGGGAGGATGCACATAGTCTGGAGTCAAAAAGGGAGGAAAAGGAAAGAAGGAAGAGATTGAATCCAAAGAATAGAAGAATGAAAAAATTTCCCTTCTTGACATATTTACAGGAGCCAGGGGCTCAATGGCTAGCCCATAGCAGCTAGCAGAAGGATGAGAAAATGATGGAGCACCAAGCGATGGAAAATAGGATCTCAACCACATTTGAGTGAACCAAAGAGGACCACTGCCAGTGGGAGATGCACCATTCTTCAATTGAGATTGAAGAGAAGCCATGCCTCTATAGAGGGCAGCCAAAAAGAAAGAACATAAATTCAGAGGCCTACCACGCGCCAATTCGTGCGCTATGTGTAAATAACTCGGGGAGGGCTTTATGCTTGGCACACACAAAACATATTTACAAAGTCAAACCAGAAGAAAGGCCACTCGCTCAGTATGGAAAGGCTCAGCGCTCAAGTGGTTATGAAGGGTTTGCAAGCTTGAATAAGACTCGGTGAGGTTTTTACCAAACTTTGGGGCGCCACCAGAAACCAAGATACCAGGAAAAATGGTATCGGCCAAAGGTGGTAGATTCACTAAGGCCTCAACATCCCTTAAAGTAATAGACATGGGGCTAAGAGGGAAAACGAAAGTATTATACTCAGAAGACCAGAAACTTAAAGCGATCGAAAAAAGTGCTGAATCAAAAGTAGGGGGTTGAAGAGAGATTTCTAACAAATCAGAAATCCTAACATTATCAAAAAGTGCCTTAGTAGGACCATGGTCCATAAGCGAGCATGCCACCTACGGAAAACTACATCAAATTTAGGCCAAGTGCGAATACCTCTTTCGCGAAGTGGCCCCAGCGGCAGAGAATTTAGAAATGGAGGGCCTTGAGTACAAAGAAACAGCTGGCCCACCGCCGCTTGTTCGACTGCCTCTGCATTGTTGAAGAAAGGACCTAGGTAGAACTCATTGAGTTCGACACTGGCAGGTGCGAGAAAGTTCGGAGTTATGTATGGACGATTAAGGAGTTTCTGAAAGTCTTCAAAACTAAAGGAGTCGCCAGATTGAGATTATAAAGTAGCCATTAGGGACGAAATGAAGTTTTTCAGAGTTACGTAGCGGGGAAGCAAAGAGATGAACAGTAAAATTGTGAGAGAGAAGCGCGAAAAAAGTGAGGCGTGATTTAATGGTGCAGTGAAATGGAGTATTTGTGGGTTATAAGGGTTTGCAAAACGTCGCACCTTTTCAAGCTATGGAAGAAAACAATGATTGAAATTTCTGGGAATTTCGAATGTTACTGGAAACACAAAGTGAATATGACAAAATTTAATAATTGATATTAATTCTGCCATATTGGGGGGTAATTGTTGACACATAAAAATTCAGCCCAAATCAAACGGCCCAAGGAATGAAGTCCAATTGGAGGATCCCCAAATCGGATAGCCCAAAGAATGAAGTCCAATCAGACAATTCAGGATGAAGGCCCAAATAGGGAGGCCCATGAACACGATAACACCATCGCCCAAGCTTGCAAGTCGCCTAGGATCTGAGCGAATGGAGTGCCATGCAGTCGCCCAGAGCTGCTACTCTATTCTCGCTCAAATCTTCGAGTCGCCCAAGATCTTAGCAAACATGAAGTGTTATGGTTATCAAGAAGCGCAGTTATCAAAGCAGTTATTAAGCAGCCCTATCACCTTCCACGATTCAAGGAATTCAATTGAAGATGATTGAACGACAAAGAGTAATGACAGTAGTTAGAAAAGGCAGTTCCATGACAAGTTGGCCATTACGAGGAAAGTGGGCAGTTATAGAACGATCATGCAGTTTTTAGGATGTTGATCACAAAGAGATCATTCAGGGAGTATAAAAGGAAGAAAAGACATAGAGCAAAGGACCCCCGAATCAAAAACTCTCGAACAGAGAACATGTAACTTTAAATTTCTTAGTTTAGATTTAAATACTTCTTTCAGTAACTCGTGTGCTTGCACCCCTTGGATGCATTTTGTTTTTACTTTCCGATTGTAAAGTCATCGCCAATAAAGAACACCCCTTTTTGAGACTTTGTCTCAAGAGGTTTGTCCCTTACACAATCGTCTGATCCCTTTTTAATTGTTAGCGACTAACTCGCGCGAAACACATGGCCTCCATAGAGTTCAACAACTCAATCACAGTATCACCAGAATTCAGCTCGGCCTGTGCATGGAATTAGTGCACACTTTCGTTGAATATAATATTTAAATGATATGACAATGAAGCTCGAGCTTAATAAAATGAATCATTGTACCAGGAAAGAGATGGAAATTCCCTTTCTTTCTCCGGAAAAAAGCCAATCAAAGTTGAATTCGGAGAAGCCTTGAAATTATTAGAATGATGACACCGGCCGCAGCAATGATTCACTCGAGTAACCAGAGAATTCATCGGACATGAATATTCCTCCGACAGAAGGAGAATCTGGCCGGAGTATGCGAGGAAAAATGGTCCTCTGAATTAGATCTAAATTATGTGTTTAGATCTTCAAAATGGCTGGAAACCTCTTCGATGAAGACGTGCAAATGAAATGCGAAGTATATTTTTTGGTAGGAAAAAAAAATAAAAAATGGACATGCGAGAATCAGAAGAGACAATAAACTACAAACACATTTGCACTCCATTTTTTCAGATGTCCCCATTGAAGTGGATTTGGATTTAGATCCACCTAAGTGTAAAAATTGATAAAATGTGTGATTGAAAAGTTGTGAATTTCAAAAAATACGTGATTAAAATTAATTGTTGACATTGACTTAAAATTTTAAAACGTTAAGCTAGACGAAGTTGGGGCTGCATAACACTAATGCTATTTAGCCCCCAACTGAAATTACAACCCTAGTTTAGGTGACTTAACGTGGCATTAGATGAAATATGAAATTAAATAAGTTTAACCTATCATCTAGCGTCTCCCAAATTGGAGTTTTAACCCCAGTATGGCCACACAACATTATTCTTTATGTAATTACTATTTCGGTTGCAAACTCATGTTCAAGTTTTATTTTTGATTTCAAGTTGATCATCAGTAAAGGTTCATTCACAAAAAAACTAAAGTCTTTCGAAACTGAAGTGAAACTTGGTTCTCGTGCTATAATTTCGAACGAGTTAACTCGAACCATACTGAACCCATCCAGTAGGTTGTGCTGTTGCAGTGCGATTCAAGTGATTCCGAGAAAAAATACTCATTCATAGTCATAATGGTCACATGAGATAACTTGCACACGGTGAGTGGCCTTGATATCAGCATTAGCAAGGTATAGAATGAGTTCTGCCAAGTAGCATGTAAGGTAAGAAAGATTCAGTACTCGAGTGAACGTTATTTAAATCTTATTTATTGTAGATCGGTTTGCGCTTACTATTGTCTGCTAAACATTACAACATATTCGAGCAGGCTTATTCTTCAATATAAATATAGTCAGATAAACATGCTGAGATTGACAGAAGAGAGGGAGCAATAATTTGTGCAGCTCAATTATCCGACATGGAAGTGTTTGTAATTAGAGGCATTTTCTTGAACTGCTATCTGTATTCTTCCTCTGTCATCAACCTGCCCACAAATTTGATTTCCTGTCCTGCTTGACCCTCCTTCACTTGAGTGAGAATCAGCTGAATTTTTCCTTCTTCTTTCGTTGTGTCCGAGCAGACGTCTCCGGCAACTTCTTTTCGCTTCGTCAAATTCCGATACCTCGTGAAATCTACAGCAGAATCATTAAAGGAAAAGCAGAATCATTAAAGGAAAAGGTAGATAACTTGTCCATCGAATGAGCATTCTAATTGATTTGGCTTAGTTTGATGAATTAGAACCAACTTGACGAGGATGTAACTACTAACTACAATGAGCCTCCTAGTTATAAATTAACGGATTTTGCTGTTTGTACAGAAGAAATCCGCCAGGAGGAGTGACCGAAATGATGTGGAGGGAATAGATGAAATTTGTTATTTGTACACTGATTTTTGACACTTTGGTTGACACTTGTATTGTTGTCAATTGGATGAAAAAATTGTTTGAAATTTAAACTGTCAAATAGAATAATGACACGTGACAAAGTATAAACTAAAGTGTACACCATAGTGTACATGTAGCAATGTTGGGAAAAGATTGAATGTGGCATTATGAAAACCTTTATATCAATCTCGATGTACATATAGTAAGATCCTGAATTTACATAAGCAAGAAGAAGGAAACAAAACCAAAAACGCAGCCCCTATGAGTAATAAGCAAGTGTCAAAATAATCTTTTCTGTGCTAGCTGAAGTCATGAACAAATAAGTTACTTAAGTCTCTACTTTAGTCAACACAAGTAATTCCTTATAAGAAAAAAGCAACCTGCTAAACAAAAAGTTACTTAACATAGCATCAACATGTTTGATTGTTCTTAAAAATGAGATTTTTAAGACAAGATTTGTACATGCTAAACATGATTAGTTATTAGAGAGTGCTGTCGCTGTCATATATACCTGCTGCATTGCTGACAAAACCTTTGCCGGATTCCGGCAACAATGGCCACTGCCGCCTTCGCGTGCTGCTCGCAGACCCTATGCCTCCGATGGTAAGTCTTAGCATCATTTAGATCCACCGTGCACTTATCCGCTTGGCAGCACCTCATTGAACTCGCGCCACCACTCGACCCTTTCTTCGTCGCCCCAGAACCACCACCCTTCTTCTTCTTATCATCTTCAGTTGCACTCGACATAAAATCGTCGTCGTCCATGCTCTCTTCCGATTCCACAGCCTCCTTTTTCATCTTCTCTAATTTTAAAGAGGAAATAGAGGAGATATTGGGTGGTGGGGCGATGGGAATTTAGAGATGCGAGATGGAAAGCTTGAGAGGGATATTTGAGGACCACAAAGTCCATTGTTTTTGTTGTGTACTGTTGTGTGTACAAGAAGATGAGGAATTTGACAAAACAAAAGTATATATTCATCGCGTGTACGTGGGGAAGCTAAGGGGACAGTTGAAGAAAGCTATATCGAAAGCGACAATCTATTGTGACATGTTTGGTTAAAAAAGATTAAAAGAAAAGTAAGTTGAGATCTTTTATACGATGCTATTAGTATTGTGTAATCCACGCCAATTATTCTCTTAAATTGTGTAATTCACGAGAGAAGAAAGGGACAACATATGACTTTTTAACTCGATTTTCTTCACTAATTATGGTCAAACAAACGTATCAAACTTGGCAATTGGCATTGAAGTTTTTCAAAATATACGAAGTCATTTTTTAAAACTTATTTTCCTAAATTCATCCTCAACAACATATTTTACGGGACTTAAAATTTTTATTAAAATCTACTAAGAATATATGTTTTAGCAAAACGAAACAGGGGTTAAGTGTTAGCATACTTCGTGGCCCAACATGTTTATAGCTTCAAAAGTTAACTCTAACCATTTGTTTTGAGATAGATTATAATCGGTTTAAATTTTAAATAAATAGAAATGAGTAGTTGGTACGTAAGTAATACTTGTGAATTCTATGAGTAAAAAATATATTTAATCGATTGTGAATATAAATTAAATAGGTTCTATACAAGTCTTTTCTCCTGCAAATATGTGGTAAGACTTTTCATTCATCATTTTTTAGTATAAATTTGCTTTTAGCCCTCGTTTGGCTATTGTTTATAATCAGTCATATTAATTTTTTTATCCACATATATCATGAAATCACAAGTACAATCTATTTACAATCATGCTGGGGTGCCAAATGAATTTTGTCACTTCGGTTGACTAACACTCACAATCGGGGTGGGTAGGGTGCTATTTTTTACATTTTTTATTTCCATGAGATCGGCGTGAGTCCTATACCAATGTGAGTGTATGTCAACTGGGGTGTCAAAATTAATCTGATACACTAGCTTAATTCATCCATTTAATTCACTACTCATTTTTATATATGTATAATTTATATCATTTATAAACAACTTTTTAACAATTTTGCTTTTCGATAATTATATTGTTCCTTTTCGATAATTATATCCTTTGTGAACATTCTTAATTAAGTGTTTTATTTCTAACATACATTTGTTTCAACTGTTTCACATTCTCGTTTTCCTTTCGATTGTGCTCAATAAAGCCAACAAAAAGTTTTGGCACAATAGTTGGCAAGGGAAGAATAGTTCATAACAGCTAGCAGAACGAGGGAATATATTCATGGCATCACGAATTAATTCTCATAAAAAGTTAATAGGGCTGTGTTAGGTACTGCCCGTGACAGGTGGGCCCCAAGTTAAATATGGGGGTGGGGGTGCATATTAAGGATCCTTCTCGTGAATGAGACTTTTCCATAGACCAGTGAACGTTAAACGTGCATTACACGTTATTTTAAAATACTTTATAAGTGATGTAAAGTAATTTTGATACCAATTTGTTGGTGGATTTGAAACAAATGTATGTTAGAAATAAAATTTTGTTGAGATTATAGTGAGCAAATTTTGTTGCGTGGGAAGGTATGATTCCTATTTAACCCCTATTTGATAGGGATCGAAATAATATTTTTAATATATTTTGATAAGAGTTGATAAAATGTGTGATTGAAAAGTTGTGAATTCTATAAAATATGTAATTAAAATTAATTATTGATTGCAACTTATATTATAATTTAAATTTTAATCATTAGCAAACAGGGACTTAAGACTGGTGGAGTCGTCTAATAGAGGAGTCCAAACAATTTTGAGGTTATCGGATGTGCTTCGTAATGGTAATGCATAGCTTTGTATGTACCCTTATGGTCCAGGCGTGCTTCATGTCGTATGGTTCACTTTAAAGGTATAATTTTTAGTTGTCTTGTTTAATTACGTTCAATATAATATATCAAATATGTTGTATGTAATAGATGTTTCTACTGATGTAAACCCCAATATTTTGTGCCCGTACAAAATGATTTTTAGCATGGTTTTAAGCTCGATAAAACTAGTATTATTGGGTGAGTGAGCGTACAATATCATTTTGTTCTGTTTTTTAATTAGTAACTAGTGGGGGCCGTACAAGAGTAGAGTAAGGAATATTGTTCATTGTAGGCATAATTTAATCAACGTTGAATTTTGAATTTTTTACTATGAACTTAATTATGATAAAAAAAATAAAATAATATTTCGATAAAATTAACTTTATTTGATATCTCAATGTCAACATGTTTTACAATCGATTTTCTTTGAAAGAATCTCTTCATTTGATAATTGGATTTAAACATCATTGGTATTAAGAATTGTTTCAAGTTAAGCCCAAATCCAGTAATTGAAAGCAAAATCAAGTTAAGCAAGGGTTTTCTCTTGGACTGGTGAGTGGCCATAAAGATTACACTGTTTGGGTTGGGTCCAAAATGGACCTTAATGGGGTCCTCCCCTGGGGCCATAGACCCAAGTTTGAGTGGTGCAACCAACTTTTAAACATATAGATAACCTGCATCGTATCGTACAAGGGAAAAATTCATAATTAAAAAATTAAGCTCCCGTTTGACCTCCATTTTTGTCAAATTTTAATGGCGGAAATAGTATTTTTTTGAATAATGTGTGATTGAAAAATAATGAAAAGTTTTTGATTTGCGTGTAATATTATTTTATGAAAAATTATGTGATTGAAAATAAGAGAGAGAGAGAGAGAGAGAGAGAGAGAATGAGAATGTGGGTCAAATGGGGGCTAAGTATCTTCCATTTCAAAATTCAGAATAAAAGTTTCGAATTTAAAAGATCAGATACTTATTAAAATTTATTTATGATTTAATTAATTAGTTAAATATATTAAGGTCAAAGATCTATACAATTTTGTCACGAATTAACGATTTAGTTTGTTACATATTATTTTTCGATTACAAATCAAAATTTTCATGTCACAAATTATTTTACGGTCACAATTCAAAAATTTTATAGGTCACAATTTGTTCATCAGTTACAAATCAAAATTTATTTATCAACCACAAATATTATAAGTCACAATTTATTATACAATAACAAATTATTAAATTATCGATCACAAATTAACAATTTTTTAGGTCACACATTTTTTTTTTTTTACAATTTATATTTTTCGTTGGTCACAAATTAACCAATTTAATAGTCACAATAAATTAAATAATTTGTGACCACCACTAACACTTGCGATCACCATCTCACCACTACCTCCACCACCACCACCTCAAACAAATCATCACATCGCAAAAAAAATAAAAAAATAAAAAAATAAAAACACCACCACATTCTCGTGTCAGCCACTATCACCCCGACAAACCATTGCCACCAATATCTCACCATCACCACTACAACTACTGCAACAACCACCACTACTGACCATCCCGCCACTGCCAGAATATAAAAGCTGCCACCACCACCACTTCAAAACCACCGCGCCTTGCACACCTGCCAAAGCCACCATCACATCGCCAACACCACCATGCACAACACACCACCACTGCACACAACTAATGTTCAATAGCACCGCACCCAACCACCACCACATACAGCACCACACCCAGCTATTGGTCAACAACGCCATACCCAACCACCCCCTATACATAACATCGCACCCAACCACCCATTGCATACCTGCACTTCACATCACCATCGTACCTGAAAATGGGACCATGGAGAAACGCTGCCCAGCACCTCGCCGCGTGCACCATCGTCAAACACCACCGCTCGGCACCTCGCTGTGTACATCGCATAACCACACAATGCTGCCAGCTTAGGCTTCAACAACTCCGCTTGTCGCCAAATGAGGTGGGCTTCGGAGCCAATGAGGGCGGGTACGGGGGCCGAAAGTGGGTAGGTATAGAGGGTGAGAAGAGAGAAAGAGGGAGAGGAAAGTGGTAAGTGATTTTTAGGTTTTTGAATGAAATTTGTATATATAATTGAATAATGAAACATTCACCCTGATTTTAGAATGTTAATCTTTAAAAGTAAGATGAAATGTAATTTCCACATAGTACAATCCTAGGACAATTTCCATATTTGTGTGCTCGTTGCTTCAAATTAAAATGAATTATAGAGATAAGATACAACTATTAATTGTCTTGCTCAATTCGATCGAGTTTAACACATTATCACATAATTAGTACTGCCGAACTAGCTAGAATCCAATATTTCTTGTTAGGTTTTTAGTTGGAGTTACAATCATAGTTACAAAGATGATAAATTTCTTTGGTCAACCACAAAGCTTAATATTTTATAGGGAAATGTGTACTTGATGAGTTGGTTTCGCTCATGAATTTCGCACAATTTTAACTTGATTATTTGCTAGATCTTGTTAGTATAGATCATTTTTGATGTGTTTGTTAGTGTTATTTTGAAGATCAGAAAAAACGATGCAAAAAGAGGAACTAAAGTGGACGAAGAGATAAAAAATAAGGAAATTGTAGCAGAAAGACAACGCCTAGGCGCTACAAAATTGAAGAAAAACTGAAATTTCAACCCAAGAGATAGCGCCTAGGCGCTGCAATCATAGCGTCCAGGCTACACCTAAATTGACGCGGTGCTGGCTTCCAGCGCTTAGGCACTGCGTCTGGTCTAGGGTGCGTTTTTGGACCGTTTTAAAGTCCATAAAAACCATACTTTCTATACAAAGTGTAGGGGAGCACTATAAATACATATTTTTCATACTTTTGAGGGGTTCTTCACACATTAGGAGGCAAGACAACAAAAAGGGAGATTCAAAAGAGAAATTTAATGAGAATAACACCAAGCAATTGAAGATTTAAAGCATTGATTGAAAGGGGAAGGAGATCTTGGTGAAAGAATTTTACTTTTTCTTCTACATCTTAATTATAAATTCGGTGATATATTCTAAGACAATTTACTATTTATCTTCTTGCATTGAGTAGCTAAATTCATTGTTAGGGCGAATAATGTAACCAATTGTCCAATTGGGATCATTTATATTCTTTTATTAAGATTCTTAGTTTTTAATTTTTTCATGTGTTGATTTTATTATGATCTGAATGTATTAAATTATTTTATTAATAATTTGATAATTTTTGTCAATTTTTTACAAATAGATATATGAGTTTATGATTTAGACCATGTAGTAAAATTCAGTATATTGGTATAACGAATAGAGATACATATACCATTTATTGCGTCATAATTGAATTCCTAGGACAAATAACTCATTTAACTAAGTTGAATTTGCATAGAGATATGTAATTTAATTAGTTGAATAGACTCAATGAAAACTCGAGAGGGGTAAATTGAATACAATAGGAGAATTCAATCGAACACTACATTAGAATTGAGTTTTAATTTGAGATGTAAAAGTGATCAATAGGTGATGTTATTCTGCCCTAACATCCATTCATTATTTGATTTTCCAACTAATTGTGCGAGCATTCATTTATTTTCTAGATTTTAGATTAAAACTCAAATCACGCAACTTTTAATTTATTTCCATCAAATAATAGTTAAAGAAAAAATTGAATTAAGTGCTAGAAAATAGTCCTTGTGGGATTGACAATCTGGACTTAAAATGTCCACTTTACTACTTGTTACGTCCGTCCACTTGTGAGATAAAATTGACAACAAGTTTTTGGTGTCATTGTCGGGGACTATTTTTTTTCTTAATTTATTTTTTAATTTTAACTGTTATTTGATTTGTTTATTTTTCTTTAATTGACAAAAAATTGTGTTCCTTGTATGCTCCGTGCTAAAGACGACAATCTTGAATCGTTTGATTTGGAGATAGAACGTACCTTCAGATGAAGACGCAAAGAACACAAACAAAAACAGCAACATCAAATAGCTGACAATTAACAAATCCCTATACCTATTCAAACGATTGGACAAATGACTGCAAGAGTTGTAGCACCACCAGAACAACAGCATGAGAGAGGGGAAATAAATGAAAGAGATTTGCCAATATCACTGTTCCTGACACCTATAGTAGCACCCACGCGTTCCAGTATCATGTATCTAGATTTTGGGGTGAATAATTTTCAGATCAGACTAGATTGGACCAACTTGATGAGCAACACTCTGCAATTCTACGGGCTACCTCATGAGAATCCGAACACACATATCTCCAGATTTCTCAGAATCTGTCAAAACTTTCATGCTCCTGGAGTCAATGAAGATGCTATTAAATTACGACTATTTTCATTTACATTGAGAGATGCTGTATTAGAGTGGTTAGATACGGAGCCTCATGTCAGCATTACTTTATGGGAAGAACTGACCAATAAATTCTGCAACAAATTCTTCTTCCCAGCCAGAGTAACTAAAATTAGATTGAAAATTCAAACTTTTCAACAGAAAGAGGGAGAAAGTTATCACGAGGCATAAAATATATTTAATGAGCTGATGAGAATATGTCCAAACCATGGAATCACTCTAGGAAACCAAGTGCAGTACTTCTACACGGGACTTACACCACTGTCAAAATCTCAAGTTGATGCCTCTGCTGGTGGATCAATCATAGGGAAATCAGTGCAACAAACCATGGATCTATTTGAGTTTATTGCCACCACACATTCAATGTTCTCATCAGAAAGAGTGGTACCATCAAAGGCAGCATGAATGTATGAATTAGACAGCACAACATCTACCAATGCACAAATAGCAGCTTTAACAAAATAGGTAGAGTTACTTGTAAAATTGCAAACACATGGAGCAAATGCAATGATGGCCGGTCCAGCATGTAAGAATTGTGGGAAAAATCACGCTACAGAGAGTTGCATGATGTTCATTTTTTCAGAGGAACAAGTAAACTTTTTTCAAAATAGCTCCTGTAATTTCAACTCATATGGGAACAATTTTTAGCAAGAAAGAAGACCAAGTTTGAGGGAAATGTTTCAACAATATGTGCAGAAGACGGACAAGGTGTTCCAACAAATTCACACGAACGTCAAAATCAGCAGGCATCATCAAGTAGTTGGAAACACAAATTCGTTAGATAGCACAACAACTTGCAGAACGTCTACAAGGATCATTGCCAGGTAATACAATGACAAGTCCTAGGGAGCAGGTGATGGCAATAAGAGAAGTGGAAAACGATCCACTAAGGACTTTTTTGAAAGTTAAAGCATACCTTCCCTTCCTTTTCCTCAAATACTTCAAAAGAAGTTGATGGAGGAAAACATTCATGCTATAGTTGTAAAAAGCGGGAAATAGTTATCAGAGACTGTTGCAAAAAGACTAGAACAAAAAGATGAACAGAAAGAGGTTGATGGAGCTACAACGGTAGAAAAATCTACACCAACCGCAACTAAAAATGGAGAAAGTACAGGAAAATTAGCTGCCAAAGCACCAAGTCCAGGCAAAGCTTACATGCCTCCCATTTCCTTTCCTCGAAATCTCAAGAAGAACAAATAAGATACAAATTATGAAAATTTTCTCAATGTTCTCAAGAAGCTCTAGATCAATATTCCATTCATTGATGCGATACTACAACTTTCATGCTATGCGAAATTTTTGAAAGTGATGTTGATAAAGAAAAGAAAGCTTCTGGAGTTTGAAACTGTGGCATTAACTAAGGAAAGTAATACAAGAGTCCAGAGCAAATTGCCTCCCAAATTAAAGGATATAGGGATTTTTACTTTACCAATTTCAATTGGAAATTTCTGTTCAATTAATGTATTGTGTGACACTAGTGCTAGTATCAATTTAATGTCGTATTCTATTTACAAGGAATTGGGACTAGGTAAAATCAACTCAACATCAATAACGCTACAAAGAGCTGATAGAACAATCGCAAGGCGACATGGCAAAGTTGAGAATGTACATGTAAAAGTGGGAAATTTCATATTTCCTGTGGATTTCATTGTATTGGATATACCAGAAGATCGAGACATTTCAGTTATATTGGGTCGACCATTCTTAGTAACGGGACGAACCCTTATTGACATGGAGAAGGGAGAACTAATATTGAAGGTGGAGGACAAGAAGGAGATCTTCAATAATTACATCCAATATGAGAAACCTCCCAATAAACATGATTGCTGTATAATTGATGAAGAAGAACCATCTGATCAATGAAGCTATCAGAACAAAAAACCAAATTTTAGATAATTTCTTGGTAGAGATAAGAATGGACAAATCAAAATCCGTAGAGCGAAAAATGACTACATCAATGAAAATTGAACAAAGTGCAATGATGGAATAACTTGGTTTGAGCCACCATGAAAAATCAGCGGCACAAGTCAAACTAATGAGTTAAAAGACGCGCTTCTTGGGAGGCAACCCAAGTTTTTATTTTATTTTATTTATTTTGTTTTCAAAGTTCTAAGATAGTTTAATTTATAGTTTATTCAGGAATCATCTCCCATATCCCTTCTACCCATAGGTCTTGGAGTAATAAAGTTGGTTATTAGATGTTTGAGCTAAGTAACCCTTGTTCCATGAATTTAATTTTTCAAATTTAATTTTTCAAGAACATGACGTTGCAGAACAATTAAACCAACATGGATATGGAGAAAATGGGACAAATCTCAAGTTTGAGGGAGAATGTGGAAGAATAGTCGATCAAATACAACACCAAGACATCACAACATCATAGGCAATACTGACATTTCAAGGAAGTCGTCCTCCTTTTTCTTTTAATTTAACATTAAGGATAATATTTAGTTTAAGTTTGGGGGAGTCTATTATTATTAATTGCCTACCTGAATTTTTTTTTGAGTTGGACATTTCGGCTTACAATTACGTTTTATTTTGAGATTTGGTGTTGATTTATGAACTGTGAATATGATGCACGCTAGATTGATTGAAGCTTAACCTTGCAAAACTCGATATTATACGTGCACCAGAATTGAGTCTGACACTATGATGAAACGAATTGATTCATTTGTTACATAGGTTGATTTAATTGGACATAGATGTTTTACTTAAATCATAGTAGGTTATTTATTCTTAGACCAAAGTTAACATAGTTTGGGGTGACTTTACAGTTGTAGGAAGAGGCGGATGTGAATTAGATTCCATGTGTAAAAACTTATATATGGATTGTCTTAGACCAACATGATAAAACTAGGTGAGAGTCTTAAGTTGGAGGTCGATTTGTTTGAATAAGTGTGTGATAAGGGGCATTGCACTAATCAAGGCATATACATTTGAAAATTTTAATCTTTTCTGTGAAACCTTTATGACTCGAGTGATTAAGTATGCAAGGGTATCTTAAAACCTGGTACCATAAAGTCGTCTGACTTGGAAGTCATCGACCTAAAACTCGCTACAGGAGTCATTTAGAAAGCAATCAAAGATGAAGTTGCACTTGAAAAAAATTGTTGTCTTCGAAAGCCTTTTTGACTTGGGTCAGTAAGTTTGTAAAGGTATTTAAAATCTAGTGCCCTAAAATCATCTGATTTGAGAGTCATCGACCTAAAGCCTACTATAGGGATCATCTAGAAACCTTAATTGAGAGAATTTAAAATAATAATAATATATAAATAAAATAACTTGTAAAAAAAAAAAAGTGCATGAAAAGAGCAAAAACACTAAATACTTTGGTTAAGCCCTAACACTTATTTGAGGGAATTTGACTTTTGATGCAAGATAATTAGCTAGTTGAGTCATGGCGGTCAAAGCAATGAAATAATTGGAGAATCCCTATTCACTGAAGTATTGACTTACAATTAGTAACGTCCACCTGAACTCGAGAAGGTGAGGATAGTAATGAAATATTCAATCTTAGGTTACACACTGTGAATGAGTGAAAAAGTTTAAGTTTGGGGGTGTGTAAATCTTACGAGAAATGTAAACTATATTTGATCACAGAAGGTCGGGAATTGAAACAATTTGTGCAATCATGGTTGATTTCTTAATTCTTCACACACACACACATGTCAGTTCTGCATTGGAAGAGTAGATATTGGTTTGATATTGTGACTTGAAGTATGTTTGTGGAATGAACATCAAAATCTCGAATCCTGAAATAAAAAATTTGATTGTCCAACTAATTATCTTTTGCATACTTGTGTGTATCGTCCTTGGATGATTTTATTGTTTGGTGTGTTTGTTTGCTCGAGAATTAGCAAACGGTTAAGTTTGGGGGGTATTTGATGAGTTTATTTAGCTCATGAATTTTGCACAATTTTAGCTTGATTATTTGCTAGATCTTGTGAGTATAGAACTTTTTTTATGTGTTTGTTAGTGTTGTTTTGAAGATTAGAAAATGCGATGCAAAAAAAGGAACTAAAGCGGACAAATAGATAAAAAATAAGGAAATTGGAGCAGAAAGATAGCGTCTAGGCGCGCACCTAGGCACTACAAAACTAAAGAAAAACTGAAATTTAAACCCGAGAAGCAGCGCCTAGGCACTCTAATCATAGCACCCAGGCGCTACCATCAGCGCCTAGGCACTGTAGACCTAGCACTTAGGTGCTGCACATAAATTGACGCGGCGCTTAGACGATGGCTCCTAGCGCTTAGGCGCTGTATCTGGGTCGTCTAAGACGCGTTTTGGGCCTTTTAAAGTCCATAAAAATCCTACTTTCCACACAAAACGGAGGGGGCACTATAAATATATATTTCTCATACTTTTGAGGGGTTCTTCACACATTGGGAGGCAAGACAACAAAAAGGGAGATTTAAAAGAGAAATTCAAGGAGAATAACACCAAGCAATTGAAGATTTGAAGCATCGATTGGAAGGGGAAGGAGATCTTGGTGCAAGAATTTTACTTTTTCTTCTACATTTTTATTACAAATTCGATGATGTATTCTAAGACAATTTACTATTTTTCTTCTTGCATTATGAGTAGCTAAGTTCATTGTTAGGTCGAATAATGTAACCAATTGAGATCCTTTATATTCTCTTATTAAAATTTTTAGTTTTTAATTTTTCCATGTGTTGATTTTGCTATGACTGAATGCATTAAATTATTTTATCAATAATTTGATGATTTTTGTGAATTCTTTACAAATAGAGATATGAGTTTCGGATTTAGACCATTTAATAAAATTTAGTACATTGGTATAACGAGTAAAGATACCCATATCATTTATTGCGGTCATAATTGAATTACTAGGATAAAGAATTTGTTTAATTAAGTTGAATTTGCATAGAGATATGAAATTTAATTAGTTGAATAGGCTCAATGAGAATTTGAGAGGGGTAAATTGAATACAATAGAAGAATTCGACCGAACACTACATTAGAATTGATTTTTAATTGGAGATGTAAAAGTGATCAATAGGTGAAATTATTTTGAACATCCATTCATTATTTGATTTTCCAATCAATCGTGTGAGCATTCATTTATTTTCTAGATTTTAAATTAAAACTCAAATCACACAATTTTTAATTTGTTTCCATCAAATAGTAGTTAAAGAAAAAATTGAATTAAGTGCTAGAAAATAGTCCTTGTGAGATCGACACTCTGGACTTAAAATGTCCACTTTAATACTTGTTACGATCCGTCCACTTGCGGGATAAAATCGACAACAGTACCCGTGGTCACCAAGCTTAAGCACTTGTCATACTTGGATTTTTCATTCAATATTTTTGGGGATCTAGGTCTCCAAACTTTGATTTTCAATGCAGAGACCATTTGGACAAAAATCGTCAAAATGCACATATATAAAGCTTTCTAGTAAAAAATTATAATAATATGAGTAATTGGTCTAATCAAATATGTGAATAATAAATATATATTAATTGTGATTTATAATTAAAATTAATATTTGATTTTAAATTAGTGCTTGTTTGTGTTTTATTATAAGTTATTGAAATTATAATAATATAGAAATGAGTTATGAATACATGAACAGTATCATCGGGTCCTACGTAAAATGTTATTAAAATTATAACTTTTTTACGTTAACCTTTAAATTGTAAAAAAAAAAAAAAAAATTATAATGAAACATGGATAAACATAGTAACATTATAATTGCTAAACGCAACATCCCACCCCCTCGCTCACTGGTGTTACCCAATACTATTCCTCTTTGTTTATTATTGTTATTATTATTATTTTTAAATTTTATAAGAATTAATTCGTGACACAATGCATATATACCCTTAATTCTAGTTGTTGTCAACTACTTAGTACCAAAATTATATTTTTGGCTACATATTATGTTTCTTGAATTGGTAGCATAATCCAAGTGATATAAATTATAGAGTATAATCAAAATGAGAATGTGAAAGTGTCAAAAATAAAATATTTACTAGAGAATGAATGTCTCTCCAAGAATGTTTAGAAACAAATTCAAATTATTTTTAAAAAATGAAAAAAAGAAAAAAGAAAAAAAAGCAAGAGACGATCTAATTATAGATATAGAATGTTGTAATATATTGTAAGATCCGCAATCACCATATTAATGTACTTTTTAGAAAGACCAGAGTTTATTTATCTATAATATTTTTTCAACACATCCTCTCCCGAGTTGATCATACATATTCTTTTTTTATCAGTAAGAATTAATGCAGTTGAAATTAGACGATAAGAGGTCTTAAGTTCATGATTATTTTATACTTTAATAACACGTTGAAATTACAACATCTAGCCTCTGTTTAACTCAGATTTTAATTTGAATCAAAGTTAAACAATTAATATTAATCATATCTTTCGTGGATCCCACAACTTTTCGACCACACATTTCAAAAATTTCTATCAAAATCTAATTTTAATTCCCACCAAACACCCTCCTAAAACGATTGGAAGGGGAAGGAGATCTTGGTGCAAGAATTTTACTTTTTCTTCTACATTTTTATTACAAATTCGATGATGTATTCTAAGACAATTTACTATTTTTCTTCTTGCATTATGAGTAGCTAAGTTCATTGTTAGGTCGAATAATATAACCAATTGAGATCCTTTATATTCTCTTATTAAAATTTTTAGTTTTTAATTTTTTCATGTGTTGATTTTGCTATGACTGAATGCATTAAATTATCTTATCAATAATTTGATGATTTTTGTGAATTCTTTACAAATAGAGATATGAGTTTCGGATTTAGACCATTTAATAAAATTTAGTACATTGGTATAACGAGTAAAGATACCCATATCATTTATTGCGGTCATAATTGAATTA